CGGTCACCCCCAACCGCACACGCTCGCCCTCACTGGGTCCGTGCCGCCGCGTCCCCGCCCGACCAGCGGACCTATCAGTGTCAGCCGCACGCAGCCACTCAGCATGCTTGTTTTGCCGCGGCGGGCGCCGGTCTTTCACCGGCGAGACGTGGCTGACAATACCGAGCGGGTGACGTCAGTACGGCTATGCGGCGGCTGGCGTCACGGCGGCGCGGCTGGCGCTGGCGGGTAGGCTCGCGGTGCCGCCCGGCCGGCTGTGGGCGGCACTCGGACGCCGGCAGGTGCGGGCCACCGGCGTGGACAGCGGCGCAGCAGGCTAAGCGCGGTAAGTGGGCGGCGAAACCGCACCACCGACGGCAGATCGTTGCTGTAGCTGACCTGTGATGTACGCAGAGAAGCTGTTTGAATGGCTGTTCTTGACCACCTGGACTGACGCTAGAACTTTCGCCCTTCGGCGGAAGATATTGTACTATGGATAAGTGAACATACGCTTGTGTCTGCATGTGATTCGAAACGAAAAAAACACGTTGTTGTAAGGAAAATATTATCACATGTGGAGATTACAGAATAATGTTTTCCAGCTCTAGTTTGTCGTTTGTTGCCAACAATATGGGTGACTCAGAATGACTGTCTTTGCGTGCATTTTGAGAGGAAGTAAATCGCTAAATGCAGTTACGAAATAAGCGTACCATGAAATTATAATTACTTTCATACACCAACGCTTCATGAGCTGACCATCCGTTTTTATTGACCCCCCCCCCCCCTCCGTCCCTCAATATGGAAAAAGCTACTTGTGGTAAGCCTTTGCTTCGAAAATTATTGCCAGATTCAACACGCAAGCTATTGAGCGTGCCTTGTTTAATAATTAATTCAACCCACGGAGATTAAGATGAGACGGATGAAACCCGCCGGATTTAGTATGCATTGTATGCATTGCACCGTTCAGAGCATCTCTAGAGTTTACATTCCGTGGAAGGTAATTCACTGTGACGTGCATAAGGACCATTACATTAAGTGTTCCACTGTTGTATGGGGTTTTGAACTGAAACAAATCCATCCATCCATCTTGGAAAATTTTCGGTGCTGTTCACAGGCCTGCCCATCTTTAGACCCAAGCCCCTCTAGTCTCTGAGCTATACGCCCGCGAAAATGCGGAAGAGTATTTCGGGGGAGACGATTTCAAAGTCACATTGGCAGTCGTGACGTCATAATAACGTCATTCAAATCCTGCCTTTCGATAAGTCATGGGGCAATGATGACCAAGAAGAATATAGTTGTTGAGGCGTTCATATATGACGTTAATGAGCACGATTTCCAGATATAATGGAGGTCAATTGGCTCTCAATTAATGTTTTGCAAGGTGCGATGATGCAGTGAAACCATGGCGTTTTGAGGGGCATATTTACTTAACAGATAATTTTGCTGCATGGAACAGTTCTTTCCCTTAAAAAGTATACCAATAGTTATAAGGGAGATTATTTCACCACATTTTATACCCGCTGCAGTATATTCAAATGTGAAGCATTTAATTAAAAGGAATGCCCTACATTTCAAGATAATGAGGGACGCATCACATATAATGCAGCTCATTCATATAAAATGGTATGCTTTTAAGAGCAAAGGACTGATTTAGGCGACACAGTTTCACTATTTAGCAAACATGCTCCCCAATACGTCATCGTTTGATTGCATCATAGAACGTTTGTATGACGTCATAGGTGCTACCAAACTGACCGTGCGAAGTTGCAACCGTAGTGGACGGCCTGACACACTTGTAGCACTTCAACTTCTCAAGAGGTGTCGTGGTAATCGGTGCGTTTTTTCCCGAACCCAAGCATCGTTACGTGTTTGTGTTTTGGCCTTTGCTCTTGGAGTTCTTGCATATTAATCCATGAATTCATATTTTTACTTGCACTGAAATGCTGGACGATGAGGCTATTCTGAAGTTATACGATTGCGAATATTATTTCCGTGCTAATTGGGACCCATGTCCAACTTCTTATATTATGTAGCGCAATACGTGATTCGTTCTTAAACTTGCAGAGCCTGCACAATATTGCCCGAGAACCAATTGACATCCGTTGTAGTTGTAAAGCAAACATATGAACGACTCGACGATTTCGTTATTCTTGGCCTTGAACGCCGCATCGTCAATGGGTTGGAAGGGTTTAACTTATGTTTTGATGGCGTCATGCATGCCTGAGTGGCCTTAGTCTACACGGAATAATCTGCACATCTTCGTGGTCGTGTAGCTAAGGAACTAGACGGTTTTAGGTCTTGAGAAGGGCAGGGCTGTGAACTTCACCGAATGATCTTTAAGACGAATATTTCAGCTCAACACCCCACTAAATTGTGGAGCGCTCGCTTAACTACGTGTGCTTCTCAGCGGCTCCATATGAGTTCAGCGGAAGCTTTTCAGGCACTGTTCACGTGTGTTCCGATTTTGGAATGTGTTTTTTACCCTCTTTGTGTACCCAATGTTTCCATTTCCAGTTTTTCTTTATGCGTCGTTTTTGCAAAAGTGGAGAGGAGGATAGCGAATTATATTTTGGTTGTGTGTTTCTGTATTCGGCTGATTGCTCCGTCAGTTTGTATTTCGCTACCCTGTATATGATTTGGCGTAGAGCCATTAAAGCATCTTGGAGTGATACCATATTTTTTTTCGATAAACGTATGACTGGTTGACAGCCAATTAAGTTCTTTGGTACCAGAAATTGTGCTGACGCACGCCAGACACGAATAACTCGATGCTCACCTTTACTTTGACCTGAAGTATCGAATAGCCAATGAGGTGGTAGTATTCATGTGATGTTTCCATGGTGTCATGTATGGCGAGGTGACCTTGAAGTAGTCTGCACGAAATAGTTTGTACAAGTTTGCGGTCGTCTGGCTCAGAAACCAGAGGGCTCTAGGTCTTAAAAGGCAGGGCTGTAAACTGCTCTTGATCTTCTTGATCTTGATGATGATCTCGATGATGATCTTGATCTTGATGATGATCTTGGTGACGATCTTGATCTTGATGATGCTGTTCAAACTGACTGTCTCATTTAAAAGCCCCAAAGAAATGTGGAACGCTCCCTTTAAAAAGGACCCGCACCACGTGGTGCGCACTTCGTGCCATCACAGGTTTCAAGTCACATCACGTCATCACATCACATCTCCATCACAAGTGAAAATCTATAGACAATCAGTAGATACTTCGAACTGCTCAGCCTTATACCCACGGGGCAATTTGTTCTACCAGATAAAAGCGGCCAACCGTCACACAAATCATTTCTTTAGTTTCCTCGAATGCATCTGCATACCTGCCAGCCTAGAGGAGCTCCTGCGCTCTGGCATGGAGGTGAGTGTGCATTGCTGATCCACTGCATTGAGGGTAGATGATTGTATTTCTGTGTCTCCCCCTCGGTCCGGTGACGGGTTCTCTCTTTCGCGATTCCGGACCTACTGACCGTTCCGCTTGACTCTCGCGGGTAGGGGATCCGATGCTTGCCTCTCGCGGGTAAGGGATCCGACGCTTGACTCTCCCGGGCAGGGGATCCGACGCTTGACTCTCGCGGGTAAAGAATACGACGCTTGATTCTCGCGGGTAGGGGATCCGACGCTTGACTCTCGCGGGTAAGGGATCCGATGCTTGACTCTCGCGGTTAGGGGATCTGACGCTTGCCTCTCGCGGGTAGGGAATCCGACGCTGATTGATCTCGGTCGTTGATGTTATACGCCCCTTGATTTTATTACGCTTAGGCGAAGCTGTACAGTTGCTTGTTGCGAGAAAGGCCTTAAGTAAACACCGTGCCACGTACGCATCTGAAACACAACACATGCTAGCCTCTCAGGGGGCCACTGATGATCTTGCGCTGATGATTAGAGTCATGGGTCACCTCGCAGGCCCATCGGTGACCTTGCAGAGTGAAATGTACGACACCAAGTTTGTGCTCGCACTGCGTTTACAGCAGCGCCGGCGTTACCCTCGTTAGCATTTCGGCTAGATAAAGCTGTTACGCGACACTTTTCGCGACAGAAACTATTTCGGCGCTCCCGGAAAGGCCAGATGTTTCAATTTAACCATTGGCTTAGGGCACTTCCCTTTATATGCGTTGATAAGTGCTGCATTGTTATCTCTGTACACTTTTGTGTTTGGAGGAGAGGGTGGGACAGACACAGTGCCGTTAAAGCCGCGAGCGGCTCTGCATGGCAAATTGGCATTTCTGTTGGCAGAAAAGCCAATGCCCCGGTCGAATCCGCCGGGCTTCGAGTGGTCCTGGTAGTGTTATCACTGACCTAACTCTCATTCCCTGGAACGTTTTGGCTCCTCACGATTTTTGGGATTCCTTGAGAACCACGGCCACCACCCGTGAGAGTCTGGCTTGGAGTTATGAATCTCGTGACAACCGTAGTCCAGAATGCCTACGGGCAATATGCCCCGGTATTGGATTCCGCACGATCCCCTGCCGCATTTCGAAACCGGCTAACTGCGACGCCACTGATCGTAAATCGCATAACTCGGTGCGTAATCAGGCATTCAACCTGAGCATGAATTTAATAGCAGACGCTCCTGCAGTCCCGGTGCGGCCGCCCAGAGGCCGTGCGCGTCATGCTGACACCTTGCTGGCGCCTCTGTGTGTGGCCACATCCCCAGCCCATCACTCGCACCGCCGACGGCCATGTCCACACCATAATACCGCGCCGTCCCATGGGCCGCGTCCGTCCGCGCCCCGCAGCCGTCCCGGAGGTCATGCGCGCGGCGACGCTGGTGAGGCAGCGGCGCCCGCCCGCCGGGGTCGCGCACGCTGCCGCCGGCCGCGCGTGCGGTCAGCGGTGCCCCAGGCTCTGCAGCGGCCTCCTCCGGTGCCGATACGTCCGTGACGCACAGCGCTGCCGCGCCGCGCGTGCGGTCAGCGGTGCCCCAGGCCCTGCAGCGGCATCCTCCGGCGCCGGTCAGATAGCCGGCTGGCTATCGCGCGCGGCGTGTATCCCGCCGACGGTGGGTGGCGGCGGCCAGAGACCCGCGCTGACCGGCCTGGCCAGCACGGTCAGCTGCTGTCGCCGCCTGTCCGGGGACAGACGCCGGACGTCTCGCGGCGGCCAGCGCGCTCACCGGGCGACGGAGGCTGGTGAGTGGACACCCCTGTCGCGCCTCGAGCGGCCGCTAGGATCAAGGCGACCGGCGCGCGTCTTCCGCTGCTGGAATGAAGATGAGGTGGCGGGCCCACGCGGAAGCAGCCAACTGGGGTGGGCGCAGGGGGCTTGCAAATTCGCTTAATTCAGTCACGGGGTGGGCCGACCGTTTGTACTACGCTGTGGAACGTCAGCGACATAGTCGACGAATCGCAATTTTTGCAATCCTTGCAATCCCTCATTTTCAAAGTTTGCAATCCTTGCAAGATGTAACGAACGTCGAATTGCCTCTTTTACTTAGTTCAAGACAACGGATGTTATATAGACCGTAAGTGGCTGCATTGCTGGAATTGCTGTGATGCTCACTCCACCCGTTTCAGCATGTATTTTTTAGCAATGTTACGCCGAAAAGGTTTTTCTTTCGTGGTAATCCATGCTCCGATGTTTGGGAGATCAAAGTTGCCTTCGCTGTTAGTGATTTCAAGCCAAGACACCGCCAAGAACATTTCTGAACCTAAAAATTGGAGCAACTCAGCTGGAGTAAGCCACGTGCTCTTAGCCATCCACCCTATCAAATCAAAGTAATTGCTTTCTGAAACTCTCTTAATAATACTAATTATACTCTAAACTCTTCCAAAGTGTGGTCCAGTATATGTGCCGGATGTGGCTGTGGCATTAATGGTGCCCCTGTCTAGGTCACACGCACTGATAAAACTAAATAACATCATGTATGTATTGGAACATAGCCTGCATTGGTAAGGTTTCGTATGGGCGGGTGACAGTACCTTCATCTAGAAGCAACTGTTTAGAATTGCAAGGAATGTTGTGTTTTTCTGGCATTCTTTTCAAAACATATTCACTTGCCTATTCATTGCTTATAAACGACAGCAAAATGATTTGCGGTATACCAATGAGAGCCTTTTGGAAGATATCGGGAGCAATTATGAAACAATATATGGTCTGATAACCGCGTAAAGTTTTTCTTTGATATTGGAACGTACAGATGCATGGTATTAACATTGAAGCCAGGTTGTTGTGACGTGTTGCAGGCTGGCTGCTGTTGGTAAGCATTGCCAGCAATATCAAAAGCTGGGAGCCGCAGGTTTTTTCTGAATCATGTCAAACGTTATAAACTGCTTTAAGAGAGGCTCGGTTCACTTGCAAACGCAAGTACAACTAGAGTTTTGTAGCAAACAGCTTACGTCAATCAGTGAGGTCACTTGACATCGTCGCGGGGTGAAGCCATCTCCGCGTGGCGTCATCGCGAAACACATGCCGTCATCGGCGCCACTCCTTGGAATGCCCGCCGAGGCGTAATCACCAATTAGCCCCTGTGGAGGTCATTAGGGCCACCGGGCGCGTGCTGAGGACGCGTGCACGCTGACGCCGCCAGGAATGCCGCGCCATGACGGCTGCCAACATGACGTGACAGCCGCGTCCGTCTGTCATTGGCGTGACGCTCACGACGGCAGCGCTCGGCTGGCATAATAACCGGCTGGTGCCAAGCATCGGCGCCGGATGTCAGCGCTTTGATCCTGGTGTCAGAGGACGAGTGTCGAACGCACCGGTCTTCCGGTGCCTGCGGACCCTTTCAGACCATGTCGAGCGGTCTCTCGAGTGCTATGCTCCAGTGTCATTCAGTCTCGACAATCGTGCGCGTCGTAACCAAGCATAAAAGCAGTGATGTCGCTAAGATTTTGACCAGGAGGGTGTCAGATCGGATAAGAGGGAAACCCTTAGCCAAAGGGTCTCTCGTCGTCGCTATAGGACCCTGCTTTGCTATAATTTGGAGTATCCTTTTAGACTCAAGATTCTATCTGGTACCTTTGGGGACATTTTTAATGTTTAAAAGACCCATAGGACATCTTAGACTGTCGGAAAGTACTTCTGGCACCTCTTGGGGCAGGCATGGTACCCAAAACTCCCCCCTTGACTGCGCTTCCGCAAACAAGAAAGGTGGACTCATAAGTGTCCGAAAACGGCGGCTCTATGCCTGGGTGCAGCCAAGGGGAAGCGGTAGTCCTGGGTTTATCCATTTTCACCAAAATGACCCCTGACAGGAATTTGATATCAGCGTGATGCATTGCTGCTGAAATCTGCCCCACCTCCTCCTTTAAGAAAATGTTGGCTGTAGTGTGGCTGTGTGTGGATCAAGAACGCAATGGTAGACTTGCAGAGTGTATGGACATTGAAGGTTTATACCCGGATCACCACAACCATTGCCTCTGCACTCATTATCAAGCAAATAGCTCATTTTCTTGTTATCAGGCAAGAAAATGAGTTACTTTTTGCTCGATAACAAGCATTTAAGACACTAGCCTGAACAACTCTGTACCCAAACATCGATGGTACAGGCAAACATATGGGTTAAGCTGCAGTAATTTACAAATTCATGACGTGCTAAATGATCGATGCTGTATAGCAATATGAAACAGTCCGCTCCCAGTTACACAAGGTTTCAAAATGCTGACTTCCGGGTCAAGTAAGTTCAGTGACATGGTGAGCCTTGAGATGAAAAGCGATACCGTTGTTTAATTTGACAACACCACCAAAATGCGCTACTGGCGTAGATGTTACCGCGGACCAGAGCTTCACGTCAAATTGGGTCAGTGGCATGTGATAGCCACAGCATGTCATTGAAAAATTAGAGAGCAACGCGGCGAGGCGAGCAAGGTGTGAGGACTGCAGGAAGAGCACATTATAACACAATACCAAAATACTGCAAGTTTACACACATTTTGGTCTGACTTGCTGAGACAAAAAAAAAACAGCTGATTGAGATCACTGCCTTGACCTGACCTGGACATAAAATAATAGTTAATAACAAACCAATGTAGGAGGAGATCCTGAAAATTCCAGACTGGCATAAGCCGTTCTCCAGCTATTTCCGAATAGGCCATGTGTGGGGACACCTGCCTCCCTTCAGTGGGAGAGTGGGCCTGCCTTCCTTCAGTTGGTGATACCAGCGCAACATATTTTTGTCCCCTTTCGCAGCATTTCACTCTTCCGATAAATAACCGCATAAAAAGCTGGTCAGCCCCCGCACCGACGTCACCGCTGCCCACGCGCTGAAAAAGCTAATTGTTGCCGAGATTCATTACGCTGACGCGACTACCGACCCTGGCATGGGGACCATATGTTCCGCTAATGACTCGCTCCAGACGCAGTGGACAGCGGTCACCGCCGGTGCAATACACGGCCCGGCACTGCTTCGGCGCGGCGGGCAAGACCAGCGAGCGTGACCCGAGCTTCCGGCGGTCACACTTGGCATGGGCGCGAGGCTGCGGCAGCCACGGTCCCGCGGGAGTCACGGCGGGCGCCGGTGTAGATTGACCCGGCAGGTTATGGTGCGCCGACGACGAATGCTGATGTCCGATGCAGCGATTGACGCGAGACTGTGATTGGTCAGATGCCGATGCAGCATTTGACGCAATGTTGTCATTGGTCAGATGCCAACACAGCGATTGACGCGAGGTTGTGATTGGTCAGATGCCGGTGCGGCGATTGACGCGAGGTTGTGATTGGTCAGATGCCGGTGCAGCGACTGATGCGAGGTTATGATTGGTCAGATGCCGGTGCAGTGATTGCAGGCAGTTCGTTTTGTATGTTTTATTATTGTTTTATAGCCGCTAAAGGATGGAGTCGGCAACTAATTACTTAATGTTAAACGCACGGGCTTTGTGCGGGCGATGCCGAAGGGTTACCTGTGACTTGTGCGTGTCCGGAGTGCTGGCCTAGTAAGTGGTGGTGTGGGTGATGCCGAGTGTCCGACAGTGATCTGTAGGGGGTGAGAGTAATAACTACAGCAAGTATTGTCGTGGGCGAGTTAAGAATTGGTCAATAACCTTTACAGGTCAGAAGGATGACTGCGATGACTGGTGCGGATGATGACAAGTTCCGTTCAGTGACCTGACGGTGGGGGCTTAAGGCGTTGACCCGGACGCAGTGTTAATGCTGACAGGCTCTTCTCAGTGACCTGCAGGGGTGGGAGCGATGACCCCAGTGAGCAGCAGCATGGATGATGACAGAATCCTCTCAATGACCTGTCATGATGAGAATGATAACCCCGGTCGGCATTAATTTAGCCGGCAACAGAGGTCGGTCAGTGACCTGTCACCGGGTCGGGACGGCGGCCGACGGCCGGCTGGCACCGCGCCAGCTCTGCTGACGTTGTTTTTGGACGGGTCGGCCCTGCTGCCGGTGCCGGGTGCGGGGCATAGTCCAGCCATGACCGCTGCTGCCCTGTCGGGCTGTGAGAACGCTGGCGGCCGGCGGCAGGTCGACTCTGGCCAGCCGGGCTGACAGCAGCGGTGGACGGAGCTCATGCTGTTCTGTAGCAGCTTGTTGCGTGTTTTAGTGCGCGACCAACTGCGAGTGTGTCACATATTGTGAGGAGTGGCTCACCCGATCAGTTCAGCGTAACATGTTACAAGACACGCCACTGGTGACGGATATTGTGAGTGTAGAACCCAAGCCCAGGTGGTGGATCAACGGAACTGTCAGCTGCCCTACTTCATTGCCACCAGTGTGGTATGCTTAACATATTATAAATGTGCTTTGGTCGTTATATTCTCTCACTAGAGAACTATCTTTGTCTTCAGTGATATCATGTGATAATCATGTGTCATGCTTTCGCCATTTGCTCTCAGACTACGACTTAACAAACATGTTAATGTGTCTACTCATTTTTGAGAACAATCACAAGGCATTACTTAATTCGTGAAGACTAATTTATTTGTAAATCTATTTTGAATGATAATTATTCTAGGCTAATGAACAAGGGCATGTCATACCTCTGCTTAAGCCACTACGTATATCTAAGGTCATACCTCTGCATAGGCGTCTTTTGATTCCTAAAAACTACATTTTGTACTTTGGTGACCTCCCAAGAATATCACGTCGTCGACGTTCAAGTGATGTTTCTTGTTTCCTACACGTCGAATGTCAGTAACTGAAAGCGAGGCCGTAAACGAGCATCATTCGAGGTCTACTCCAC